TATGAGATCGTTCCGTAACTCCCCAACCGGACCTCACCGGACAATGGCACCTTTTTAGTTACACCCAGTGTCACTACCCCCTCCTACCCTGCGAATTTCGAGCCCCGGGACGCCCCTGTTGCTTGGAACAAAGCCATAGAGATTAAAGTCTTTCCCCTGCGCTGCCCTGGGACGGCTCGCCAGAGAGCTCGTGGGTGATTCCCGTTTACATCATGAAGCAGACTTTCAAACTCCAGTCTGAACACCACTGGCCACAAGCTTTGGGCTCTGCTCTCACGGAGCATACTTATTTATATAGCATATTTTATTTTAGATGAACTAGAAACCATGTTTAATTTGTAAAGTTTTATTTTGAAATGTAAGTCAATAACAATTGGCTGGAGCCAGAGCCAATAGTGAAAGTCTTTGCGCTAGGAGACCCCGCCCCATTTTGGAGGTTCTGCCCACTTTTGGAGTTCACGCCCCATTTTGGAGATCTCCGGTCTGCAGTTATATCTACTTGGAGGAACTCAACGGGATGGAGACTGTCTGGAGCTACATTGTGTTTCGAGGAACACGCTATTTTTAAACACTAACGTTCTGTTTAAGTTTATTTGACTGTAAGACACATTGTCTCTGGGTTGGTCTAAGCCTGTAATTTTCCACCCCCGCAGTCACCGTAGTCTCCGCTGTATTCTCACCGTTCCCAGACTTTTAAAGAATAAGGCACTGTGTTTTTTTAGGGCATGTACGATGGTATTTTTTGGTGAGCGTTGGGGTGCCATGCCAATATCATGATATATGAATATTATAGTCATTGGTATCAAAATACCATGGTATTATTCTCTGATTCCATCACATTGTGGGACTAGAATGAAAATCTAAATGATGTAAACATTAGCCTAAAGCACGTGCAAAGTCTTTTTTTTTAGGCCGTTATGGGATGTTTGTTTATTGTGTGGCAGAGTGAAGATATTGATTGGCTATTAGTAACAGTGTTTAATTGCTTTCACATTTGGTGGATTGCGGTTTTGTTGGTCTCGCCACCAAAAGGTCTGTAGAAATGGAGGTTTGACAGATGTCTCACACTCACTGACAAATGTTAACCACTTACTGTGCGCCCCTATTTTTGAGCATTTTCTGAAAAACGACATACCCAAATAAAAATGTCTGTAGCTCTTGAACCCTATGGTCTATATTTATAAAATCTGGTATTGTTTGAAACTACACACTTGAACCTTTGTTACTCTGGAGTCATAATAACTCAAAATTAGTATAGCAACAGAGGTAAACAAGGTCAAATGTACATGAAAGTGACTCACTGACTTTCACATGGCTGCAAATGCAACGCCAAGTTTGTTAATTTAAATTTATTCAGTTTTAGCATTTAATAATTTATTTGTAATGATCTCTGAAATGTAAATTGTAAGTGGGCTATTATAAACCCATGTTTATCTTTATAAACATGATTCATTTTACTTGTGATGTTTTCTATATGGGTTTATTAGCCTAATCCTCATGAACACGTGATGCTAGCGTATTTTAGAGCTAATAAACAAATAAAAAAAAAAATTTTACATTTGTAATTGTAATTTTTGCTTCACATCACGCACTCCAAAACACTATCAAACACCACTTTATTAGCCTAATCCTCATGAACATGTGATGCTAGCATATTTTAGAGCTAATAAACAAAAAAAAAATATTTTTTTTTACATTTGTAATTGTAATTTTTGCTTCACATCACGCACTCCAAAACACTATCAAACACCACACAAACTCTTCTAAAGTCGATGCTCCATGATGGAGAGATTCAGATGTAAGCTTTGGAGAAAATCCGCTCACGGATATACACTCCGTGTAGCGCCGCGACGCCATTCTGTGTAAGCACTAAGCAGCGTGCGTAACGAAGAGGACGCACGAACACACACTAACTTTCTTTTTATTCATTTTTTATTGGCGGCTCGCAATCACACACTAACTTTGTGCATGGATATAAACCTGCTTACGTCAAATGTGCAAACTGTCAATCACTGTAAACGTGTTTGTGGTTGGCTAACACTTCCATCCATCAAAACTTTGCTGGCTAGGCATTGGCTGGCTTCAAACAGCCAAAAACTGCGGTGCGCAGATTGACACCTCGCTAAGCCTGTCAGCGACTCCCTCTCTGTTCTGGGTTATAACATCGCCGGTGATTGAAGGAGAGAGACTGGGAGGGCTCATT